TTGCTGGCGTCACAGTGATGCACCATTTATTCAGGGTTGTGCCAAAGTGCCACCTTGTGGCTAACATATCCTTATCGTTGCTGTTGTGCAAATAAATAGTGCATGTTGAACCTTGAGTTTTTTTTACACACAAAAGATACACGGTTCTCCTGCAATATTGGCTAATAACCTAAAGCAAGACTGTATTTTAGTTTGGATTTGACTGTGTGCTGTACATCCTGCACTTAACATAGTTCCATGGCAGGAAAGGCCAATAACATTATTGATGACTTATTTCCAACAATTTCTAATTTGCAGCAATTGACAACTTTACTATTTACACCTGTGTTTGACAAGTCAAAAAGGCTAGTCACCAGATCTAAGAAGTTGTTTCCTCCAGTTTCTCTTACCATTACATTACATTACATTTCATTTAGCTGACGCTTTTATCCAAAGCGACTTACAATTACCAATTACAGGGACATTCTCCCTGGAGTAACTGAAGGCTAAGTGCCTTACTCAAGGACACACTAGTGGTGGTGTTCCTGGCGGGATTTGAACTCACAACCTTCCGATCTTCAGCCCACCCTCACTGTTAAGGGTGAGTGGCTGTACGTAACCCTCAGATAGAGAAAGCTTAGGCTCAGCACATGCCTGGGAGCTGAAAAAGGCCTGATAGACACCAGCGTTACAGCTCCCACAATTCTGCTCACAAAAACCCAGCGTGATCAGAGAGAGGGTGCATTGTGGTTTTGACGTACAGGGGAGCCTCGCCTATAATGACTGCAGAGGGGCTGTCTGCAGGTTCCAGCTGATCACCTTGAAGCACCTCTTTCACCCTCGTCTAACATCCTTTATAGCATAAACAGCTCCCTGGGTGAAAGGCCTGCATTCTTTGTCATGGCTTGTGGCTACACTTTCCTCTTATACTGAATATGGAACAGTGCCCAGAGATGCTGTTGTGATTACACTCTTCAACTAATGCACATCAATTATGCTGGCCAACAACTGAACTCTGCCACAATCGTCTTTATTCCGCATTTACTGTAGGGTAGATAAGACCAATCATTATGTCAATATATTCATTAATACAGGCTATTTAGTTTATTTTTTAAATGTATTATTTCAACTGCAATCTTTATTAGTAGTTTTTGTGTGTAAGATTTATCAAAACAAATTGATGAATTCCTTAACAGAATTCTGTTAGCATCATACACATGTCCAGCTGCAGGTTAACAGATATGCAGACACCTTTTGATTCTTCCAGATATTTACAGCAAATTTTGTTGAAAACCTATAGTTTATGAAGTAATAATGTTCAATTTTCTGTAATCGATTAGCTGTATACCAATGATTGATTGAAATGTGTAACTATGACATGTGGGACCACTGCATTTATTGGATGCCCGACACCAAAGCAATGACACTTTACCCCCAGAGAGGTCGCTACATTCAATGATCATGTCTATTTAGTATCTTTGTTTCCTAATGTTTTACTTGATGGAAAGCCAACCATGCTAATGAAATAATAACTGTTCATAAGTCTGTGTTTTGAGGCCATGTGCCTGAGTCTCCTGAATCATAGATCTGATCTGTGTCTGTGTTGACCGCAGGACACTCACTGCTCTGTTTGCCAATGCAACTACAGTATGTACTTTCCCACACTATGCAGACTACGGGGAATGGATCCTGCAAGAGATCAATGTCTTGCACTAATCTGCAGTGCTTGTTTGTGGTCTTGCTATACTGATGTGTGTTTTAAACAATTCTAATTATCAGATTTTTGTCTTGGGAAACGGGTTAGTAAATAATAATAAATAAACTGGGCCACATAAAAATCCAAATAGGCTGAGAAAATGTTGTCCTGTCTGTGGATGTTAGCAGTCTGACGGCTGCTTTCGGGTTTAATATCAGGACTGAAATCAGCAAGTGTGATCGAGCCTTAATCCCACAGAGCACTGGCCTCATTCCAGTGATTGATTTTCATTCAAGTTAATATTGATTGTCCTCATTTAGGGGTTTCAAGCAGCCATTTGTAACAGCAGCAGTCTGATAACTCTCCTATATAACTCCCTTACATCTCTTCCTCTCTTCACCATCCAGGGTGTTACTTTTCTGAAGAAGTCCTGTGGTGGTTGCTGTAATGTAGTTTTTTTTCCTCCTTAAGCCTTTATGATGTGGAAGATTAACACACAATTGCATAGCTTTGGCTCCCCGTTACCCATTATTTTATTATACACATCTAAAACAATACATGTTTTAATTTGAGTATTGTGTGTACAATAAATCGCTTTTATTTTATTTTGTAGCACATTAGCAATAATAATAATTTTTCTTTATGCCAGAGCATTAACCGGAATAATTGTTTTCCTTTTTTCTCCTTTCTTCCCCCATATCATCAGCTGTGACAGAACACTAGTCTTGGACATGGATGTCAGCATTATAATAATACATAAAGCAGCAAGCATCAATTCATTGGATCAAAGCCATCTAAAACACTGGGACAAAGGTGGTGAGAGTGCACAGATGTTGGAGGTAGGTTGGTATTTAAAATGTGGTTTGAATTAGATTGTGTGGCAGTAACCGCTGGATTTAAGGGTAAATCAAATGTATTCAGATTTGAAGAGACAGAGCTGCAAGACTAGGTACACCTGATGCAATTGAATAAAACAGCCTTCAATAATTCAATCACTGCTTACTGAGTGCATACTGATGGGTTTTAGGTGATTATAAGTTAATTGATCTCTTAATCACATTAGGTTATAATTAGGATAAGATGCACTTACTATATGGTCATTGGTACTTAGGTTATGTACAGAGATACAGCTTGGTTAAAACCAAATTGGTGTTTTCTGGGTGCTGAACCTGTAACCACATTTGTCTCAGTGAACATTAACATCACAGTCACTTTGTTAATCCTACATTTAAATATCAAGATTGCTGGCTTGCTGTTTGTAACAAAGTTTTATTTTCCTTTTGCCAAGGCCACAATCCACTGTATGCTGTAACCCTGGGCAAGCACCCATGACACCCGGGTACATCCACACACGGTAAAAACATTACATTTCTCTATTTCTTGTTAATATGTAAGGTCATGTGCACACAAACACAAGTGTTTTCAATCCTTCTGGTTGATTACACCTCCAGTCAGGTTGAAGCTGGGTGGAGCTTTGTTGGAGATAACGTGACGTCACTACATTGTATAACTATAAGGTAATGATCATGTTGTAACAAAACAGGATGGGAGGTGTCAATCATGCAGTCTGTCCACACAAAAAGGTTTAAAAAGACAACATGAGTGGACTATGTGGACAACATAGGAGTGAGGAACCAACTGTGATTTGAGAAGTACTCAACCCTTTTACCGAGTTCAAACTGTTGCACAAATCAGTGTACAAATACTGTTTCAAGTAAGATGCATTATTTTAAAATTGTAATTAATAATAATACAACATTTGCATCAACATAGTAAATGGTTAAAGTATCAAAAGTTAAAGTACTCATTATGTAGACTGGCCTATTACAGAATATAAATTATATGATGTAGTAATCCACCATAACACACGAGCTGTTGATTTCATATTGTTTTATTATTTTGTATATGTATTTGAAATGGTAGTGCAGTATAATAACGCATAAAGTGTAAAGTTTACCCAAGCACAGTACTTGGGTTGATATACTCGAACATTTTGAAATAAATATATTTTATACTGTTAGACTAATAATGAACACAAATAAACAATCATGTCTTTAAGGGAAAAGTGTTATATTTAGTATTTACTGTGGGAAGCAGGGTTAAGGTCCTCTTTTGTACGCGACTTACAGTAAATGAGAACATATTTCCTTGTTCATAGAAAAATAAATGTCTTGCTCTAAATCAAATATTAAACTAAATCAAGTCATTTATGCCTCTCCCTGGATTACTCTGCTAGTGTTAGTTAAATAAATAGCAAACGTTTGCTTGGTTAGACTACTCAACACATCATGGTGTGTTGTTATTAGCTGTACCTGTTGGATATTCCTGTTGTACTTATTAACAGAGGTTTCAAAGTCAGTCTGAAGGGGCAGTGAGAGGTCGGAAAGAACTTAAATGTGTTAACCAGAGAAACCTTATTTCCTTCAGGAGGAAGCAGTTTGTAAAAAGTACTCATGTCTTTTAAGTGTAAGTAAGTGGAGCTCTATCAGTGTAGTCAAATTCATACATCAGATATTTCACTTACATGTATAGCACAAATGTATAAACAGCTAAAGATATATAGGCAAATGGTCCCTTTCAGAATACAATTATTTAATATCATAATATGCAATATTATTTTCGATGCTTAATCACATAAGAAGCATTTTAAACGTATCGCTGGCATAGGTGGAGTACATTTGAATTACTTTATATACTGTTGGATGGTTCAATTTGTTATTTTCTATCTTTTTTTCCTTTTTTTAAATCTTCTAAATTGTAATATAGGGCTTTGGCTATGGTGTTATATTTGCCATTGTGTCCGTTTAAATTGAACTGAATATAAGTGCAGTGCTCATGTGGTCGGTTGTCTAAAAAAAACACCTGTTTCTTAACTTGTGGTATTTCCTTGTGGGTTGATCATTGACAACACTTTTTATTTGCTGAAAGGTGTTTCCAAACCCCGCCATGTATCAGCAAGGTTAATCAGAGCATCTAGATTTTAACTAAATACACTATCTGGTCATTTATTAGATAAGCAAACTCTACCGCTACCACCACTTTATCTTTCCTACACACTGTCTTTATTTCACTCTCTCTCGCTCTCTCTCTCTCTCTCACACACACACACACACACACACACACACACACACACACACACACACACACACACACACACACACACACACACACACACACACACACACACACACACACACACACACACACACACACACACACACACACACACACACACCACACCACACCACACGCACACACACACCTCAGCCAAAGGTACATAAGTGTCTGTGCAGGTGATTCAGTCAAAGAGGAGCGACTCCAGCAACAGTCCTGTTCTCTGGTCAGCCTCTCAGCAAAATGTCTAAGGATTATTTTGGGTTCTCCTTAATGAGGAGCAATGCGAGAAATGGCACGGCCGGCGTGGCTCTTAACAATGCTGCAGATATCTCCGTTATTGTGGTTTACTTTGTGGTTGTGATGGCTGTTGGAGTATGGGTGAGTTCATTTCAGTTGCCCTTTAAATCCTTCTTCTCTGTGAATACGAAACACTTCAACAGTTTTATAGTTGTGAGAGTTGCTTTACTTAAATAAGAATAAATATGTCTTTATTAAGAGAAAGAGAAAATATAAATATATTTATAAATGTTTGTTACATGTTGGAGAATTCAAGAATATATTTATTTGCATTCTGAAATAAGAGGTTTTAGGCCTCTAACCAGCAGAGACCTTTACAGCAGCACTTGATATGATGATATGTAATCTAGTTGGTTCATATTGTGCAATCACAGCAGTATAATTGTATTGCCGATCAGAGTACATTTTAATTTCAGAATGCATATTTATAGATAGATTAATGAAGAGCAAAGCAAGATTTATATTTCACGGTTTATTTTAAACATGTAATTAATTATTTTTAAAAAGACAATTAAAATAAAATCAACAGCAAGTATAACAATTCACATGAACAACATAAATAACTATGTCATGTCCACAAAGGTGTAGGAAGAATTATACACTTACTGTGATATTGGGAAGTTGTATGTAGAAATATGTTTCTTTCACTCTTTTTATCACTTTTAACAGCTGTACATAACACAAAATGTAATCATTAACAAATATAACTGAAAAATAGAGTCTGTTGCTGTTTTGTGCTGTTTTAAGGATTCTTTAAATGTTCTTCTTCTGTTGCAGGCTATGGTCCGCACCAACCGAGCCACAGTCGGTGGTTTCTTCCTTGCAGGGAGGAGTATGGTGTGGTGGCCGGTGGGTATCTCATGTTGACATGTTTTATATTGTTTGATGCTAATTGTATTATAGAATATCACCTCATGTTATATAGAGTCATGTGGAGTAAATCACTTATTATTCAAGCAGAGGCAAGATTAAAACAATGTATTTTAGTAGCACATTTCACAGCCAAAGCAAACCTGAAGTGTTTTACAGATGATGATAAAGGAAATACAGACAGACAGGCATTACATCAGTACAATTATACTGTAAAAAAATAAAGGCACAGTTAGCTGAAAACCAAAAAATGATGTAAATGGTTTATGAATATAACTCTGCACTCCACAGATTGGAGCATCACTGTTTGCCAGCAACATTGGCAGTGGTCACTTTGTAGGAATCGCTGGGACCGCTGCAGCTTCAGGAATCGCTATTGGTGGATTTGAATGGAATGTGAGTAATAATGTCTGATGTGTAACATGATCTCCTCTTAACCCTCCTGTTACATTCAGGGTCAAATTGACCCGTTTGAAAGTTTGAAAATCTACGAAAAATACTTTCAAGTATTTTTTTTGTATGAAACTTCTTCTCCTTACCTTAATTAGTGCAATAAACAAGTACAATTAAAATGGTTCATGTCATGCATTTGGAACCCCCCCCCTACATGTCTATATCACAGAGATGGTATTTGGGTCAATCTGACCCGGCAGTGCAAGTGGAGGCTAAAATGACACACACACACACACACACACACACACACACACACACACACACACACACACACACACACACACACACACACACACACACACACACACACACACACACACACACACACACACACACACACACACACACACACACACACACACACACACACACACACACACACAATACAAATCCTTATGACTCATTTGGCTTGATTCTAAGTGAACGGGTCAATTTGACCCTGAACAGAAGAGGTGTCTCGTCTCTATTTATCAACATCAACCAATTGGAAAAAAAGTTGGAACATTTTAAAAGTAATTTAAAAAATGTTATGTTATGCAAAACTAATGTATTTTATATCAAGGTTTTTCCAATGTAAAAAAGAAAATAGAAAAATGTGTTTGAATGTATATGTTTTGTGAAAAACGAGTGACTTATTCTAATGGAACCATGATCTGTGAGAGGTGAATAACACAATTGCACTAAATATTGATTTCATTGATAGTAATAAAAGGTACAAACTATGTACAAAAAAAAAATCTGGATTTTGGGGCTTCTGACCATTTTTGGATAATTAAACATGTACTGGGTCAAATTGACCCACGAATATTATTGCTGTTACAAAAAACGAATATAACAGGAGGGTTAAACACATGTGTTTCTAACCTGTGACAGATACTATCAGTTATCTCTTTGAGGTGAGCTGATTGGTGAAGATTATCATGGGAGGTCCACCCTGCAGATACAGGAAGGAAACAGAAGTCAACTTTATAGGAATATTTTAAGGAAATGGTGCATTGGTTATTTATTGTTGTGCATTTTTTTCAATTTTAGGCTCTTATTGTGGTCGTCATTCTGGGATGGCTCTTTGTGCCCATCTACATCAAAGCTGGGGTAAACGAAACACACAGGCCACAAAACACCTTCATTTGTACTGTATATATATACGTATGTATTCACTTCACCTGTTAGAGTATGTATTCATAATCATGGTAAACATGTATTTATTTACTTAATTTACAGTTTAATCATTCAAGGGGACTTAACATGAAACCCCCTTTTTCTCCAGTGCTTTTGCATACATTTATTTTGGTATCTGCCTACTAATAAAAACCCCAGTAAGTTTCTTGTGGTTTTCCGGAAAACAAAATAACTACCTTTACAATTTCTCTTGCAAGACCATCAGAAATGGAGCTGTCACAGCAGTATAACACTAACACAGAGACTTTCATTCAAAGATTAAATACAAGTATATTCTGACAGACCATAAATAATGTGTCATTTGTATGAAAACTAATTTTGATGGAAACCCAAAACTACAAGTGCAAACTTGAAATGTATGTCCTCTTTAAGTCGAAAGTGGTCCTGCAAAAATAGCAGTTGAAAGTCATAAAGACAGCAACAAAAAAGTAACTCAAATCAAAACCTAATTTATTATGGATGTGTTTAGGTGGTCACCATGCCTGAATACCTGAAGAAGAGGTTTGGAGGACAGAGAATTCGCATCTACCTCTCTGTGCTGTCCCTCTTCCTGTATATTTTCACCAAGATCTCAGTAAGTGTCCACATCATTAGTGATTATCTCTATGTCAACGAGATGTACGTTATTGATTGAAATTATGCGTTTTCTCCTCTCCTCTCCACTCAGGCAGACATGTTCTCTGGCGCCATTTTTATCAACCAAGCTCTCGGGCTGAATATCTACCTGGCTGTTGTCATGCTACTTTCGATAACAGCCCTGTACACAGTCACAGGTATGTCCCATCAGGATGCATTCACTTTATTTTCCATTGCACTCACTTCATAAATGAAACCCAGAATTCTTATCTACCTAACAGAGTGGTGCTACAAGTGGGGGTAAAGTCTTCTCCATTGACCTTATATGGAGATGTAGATACACACCCACACACTCGCTCTCTCTCTTCCTGTCTCGTTGATCAGTTGTGTGTTACTGTGCTTAATTACCCATAAACTGTGATAAGCTGGAAATGGCCTTATGTTGGTTGCTGGTTGCTGTTTTGTAATACCGCATACACACCTCAACTTTAGCTGTAAAAAGACTTGGAATATTGCCTACATAATACAGCTTAATACCTAATACCCAATTTGTAACAATGGATCAAATCATGTACAAAGTTCTCTCCATAAAGTCAAAATTAGGGACAATAAAATGTGATCACTTTGAAAGAAAATGGATGAATTAAAACCATCATGATATTTGATCTCAGGTGGATTGGCTGCAGTGATCTACACGGACACCTTACAGACTATCATCATGGTTGTGGGATCATTCATCCTTATGGGCTTTGGTAATATGGTATTTTAAGTTTTTAAGCTTCTTATATGTTTATAGTTTCCATTTTGACTATAAAAATCGTGCTTGTGAAATCTAGTGTTGGAGTAAAAATGATTCATAACGTTATTTTACACCTATGTGCAGCTCTCAATGAGGTCGGAGGTTATGAACAATTCCAGCTGCGCTACATGGAGGCCGTCCCTTCTGTAACAACTAACATCAGTGCGAGCTGCTACGAGCCTCGGGCCGACTCCTTCCATATTTTTAGGAATGCGATCACAGGAGACCTGCCATGGCCCGGCCTTGTGTTTGGACTCACCATTCAGGCCACCTGGTACTGGTGCACAGATCAGGTCAGTCCAGCAAACAGGCCGCACTGTTGGCCATTTGCTCAACCACAATCCAGGGTCATAAACACACACACAGACAGAGACTCTTTCAATTGATTGTACATATTTGTGTACACATTATTGTGCTTTTATCTTGCCTGTTTTTGCCTGACTCACTCGAGCGCTCTTAAGGTGGCCTGCTGTATGAGGAGAGACATGCTTTTAGTTAGACCTTACAGCCTCAGAGACTGAGATAAGATTTACAGGCAGATTGTTGCTGGATCTCAGAGAAGAGTAGATTTAAATGTTGACATCGAACACATAGATAAAGTCAGCCTATAAAGTAAAATACTATCAACAGCATATCCATTGAACCTAAATCTAATTATTTCCATTATGACTTTTTTCAAATCGACTTACTCAACCTATTTATCGATTGTATCTTTGCACCACTGATCTTTCCCATTTGTGACGTGTTTTCTTGCTCCTGTAGGTGATTGTCCAGCGCTGTCTCTCAGCCAAGAATTTATCTCACGTTAAGGCAGGCTGCATCTTGTGTGGCTACCTGAAACTGCTGCCTATGTTTCTCATGGTTTTCCCCGGTATGATCAGCAGGATCCTTTACACTGGTGAGTATGTGACTGACATATTTAGGCTCAAGAAGATGAAAGTATTGCAAACATAAAGCTGGATTTAAATATGACTTAATGACTTATTGTTCATGTAATTCTAGACGAGGTGGCATGTGTGGACCCGATTGAATGTCTAAGATACTGTGATGCCAAGGTGGGCTGCACCAACATCGCTTATCCTAAACTGGTGGTGGAACTCATGCCCAATGGTGGGTGGCTAAAGACATTTATCTTATGATCTGAAAATGCAAACATCGGTATTCCCGAAATGAATCTTTAAAATCTGCTTCAGGTCTGCGAGGTCTCATGCTGTCCGTGATGATGGCCTCTCTGATGAGCTCACTCACCTCCATCTTCAACAGCGCCAGTACTCTCTTCACAATGGACATCTACACTAAGATCCGCAGCTCAGCCACTGAAAAGGAACTCATGATTGCTGGGAGGTAAAACACAATTGGGGGGTTTGTTTATTACGATTTCTGATGATGAGAGATATCATACATGCCTCACTATCTTTGATTTAGAGTGTTCATCGTGTTCCTGATTGGTGTGAGCATTGCGTGGATCCCCGTGGTGCAGGAAGCCCAGAGTGGTCAGCTCTTTGACTACATCCAGTCCATCACCAGCTACCTCACTCCACCTGTTGCAGCTGTCTTCATGCTTGCCATCTTCTGCAAACGCGTCAATGAGTCTGTGAGTATCCACTTCAATCATCTCCCTTTTTTTTTACATATTTCAATTTTAAGAAAAATCTTCTGCATGCTCCATATAAACAAGACAAATAGCCTACAGCCATGTTAGTAGCATTGTCGAGGTGTAACTACGCGCAGTGCTGTGAGTGCTAATGTCAGCATGCTAACTTGCTCACAATGACAGTATTGCCATGCTGATGTTAAGCAGGTAAACTGTTTATGTTAACCATTTTAGATTAGCGTGTTTCATGCTTATTCTGGCTAATTAGCACATAACACAAAGTGCAACTGAGTCTTATCATTTTCTGTGACTATTTTATGAGATATTATTTAATTATCCACTCTGAAGCACGTAGGACTAAAATTCTTGTATGAAAGGTGCTATACAAATAAAGCTTATTATTAATGGAAACCAAAATATTGAACAAATTGACATTTTTATCCGATAATGGTACTAGTTGTATTGTTTAGAAATCTATAAACTTCTATTTATCCAATTACAATTCATATTTCACTCAAAGCCATAAATGTGAACTTTGTCATGCTTCAGGCACCAGGAACGTACCAATTGCCATGGCACTCCCTTCAATAGTTTTTGAGATATTTCAGTGTTTAACCAAATGGTGGACAACCCGGCAGATGTGACCTTTCCTTAGAGCCATATCTCTAGCCTGGATAAAAAGGAGTTGAGTGTGTTAAAGTGCAGTCTTTTATAAAGTTATTATGCAATTACCAGCCAAAGGTCTCTTTCAACATCTTTTGTCTTACTGCTCTCGGACTTCTTGGGAAATTTGGTTTACCCTGACCATAAAGCAGTTGAATCAACATGTGTCATATGATCTGAAAAAGTGGGGGTGGGGTCAAAATACCCTAAAGGTGTCATGAACATAGACCAACTGTTGAAATGGTTCTTATTCTCACGATTGTCACATTAGTTTAGCCAAAGCACTGAAGTCATGCACACCATCAGCAGATTTGTCATCAGACTATTAACACAAGCCAGTGAGGACTATTTTATTATCTGACAAGCTCACTCTCAATTATGCTGCTGCTTTACTTTCTCTGCTCATTTCTCCAGCTTCTTCCTGCCCATGATTTCTTGATTTATATTTGCAATCTGCAATTATGTATATTTCATATATCTGTTTTATGTGACTGCTGGATGCACCTTTATCTATCCTGTGCCCAAAAGTATTCCTTTTCATTAGGATTCATTTAGTTGAGTTGATACGTTGGTTCCAGACTGAAATATTTCAACAACTTCTGGATTGATTGCCATGACATTTGGCAGTAACATGAATTGGTCTCCAGAGAAAGAAGCCTACTGTCTTTGCTGACTTTTCCTTTTGCACTCTTTTTCTTTTCCTTTAGATTAAATCTTGTGAACACATTCACGTCCCCGTCTGGATTAAATGTAATCATGTCCATATATCAGCATTAGGTTATGATTTGTTTTATTTTGTCCAAATCTTTAGTTTATGGTCAAATACCTTTATATATGTTTGTCATAATAAAACAATTGTTAGCAACACATTCAACTAAGAGTAAGTGTGTCACTTGCTATAAAAGCAGCATGTTAGCTTTGTCATTGTGTCATTGCTCTAGATAGTCATGCCAACACTTATACTGAACATTTTCCTTTTTCTTCTTTCCTCAGGGTGCATTTTATGGCCTCACGATTGGCTTAGTTATCGGCCTCTCCAGAATGATTGCAGAGTTTGCTTTTGGGACAGGCAGCTGCGTTGAACCCAGTACATGTCCCACCATCATATGTGGAGTCCACTACCTCTACTTCTCCATCATCCTGTTTGTTATCTCCTGTATCCTCATCGTGGGAATCTCTCTTGTGACCAAACCCATCGAAGACAAGCATGTACGTCACCGCTTGCGAGATAAGAATAGATACATAATTAATAACTCCCAAACATCACTGGAAGTCCCTGCAAAAACCAACCTTATAAATAATTTGTTTCAACCCATGTGTTGTGTTATAGTTGTATCGACTGTGCTGGACTCTGAGGAACTGTACTGAGGAGAGGATTGACATTGAAAAGGATGATTGGATCGACAATCAAGAGTCCAACAATATGGAGATCGATGGTAATCAGCAGACATTGAATATAAACACATACAAACACACATGCAGATTTGCTTCATCACCTTTGTTCTTTCCATCACAGAGCCCAGGGAGAATCCTGGCTGCTGCAAGAAGGTAGTGATGAGTTTCTGCGGCCTGGAGCCGACAAATGCGCCCACGTTGAGTGCAGAGGAGCAGGCGGAGGTGCAGCGGAAGCTCACAGACACCACAGAGAAGCCTCTATGGAGGAACGTTGTCAACGCCAACGCCATCATTCTCCTTTGTGTCGCTGTTTTCTTTCATGGTTTTTACGGTTAAAGAAACTCCATTGACGCAAATGCTCTTGGATAAATTATATTTAAGGGACAGGATTTTATATGATTGTAAATTATGAACACATGAATTAACTGTAACCTTGTAAAATAATAATAATGCATTGGCAGACTTCTATACTGGATCATTTTTACTGTATGCATGCCATGTATGGAAAATGAACGTCTCAAGGACACAATATTTATTTTTGTAAAATATGTTCCTGTCTAAAACTGTTAAAGTATTTCACTTTACCTACTGTAGATCTGGACATTTTTCCAGGTTTTTCATTTTGGAAACTTGGAAAATTCTAAATTGGGAATACAAATGCTCCTTTATGGCTTGATTAACGTTCTGGTTTACATATGAAGAGACACTGGATTGACTGGTTTTTATGTGTTTTTAAGTTCACATGCTCAACATAATGCCAATTTGACCTTTTTTCTCATTTTATGTGCTCAAAGTCTACAAATGCTGTCACTTGTTAAAGCATCTTACTATATGTTGTTTTAGGTGTTAATGAATAATGAACATCTCAGGGAAAATGGTTGTGAACTCCAGTTTGACTCTCTTTGCTTCCCTCTCCTGGTTCATTGAGTAGTTTGCACTTTATTTTATTGCACATTCAATTTCTGGTTAAGTCTGCTCTTAAATAAATTCTGAAACGTCACATAATAACTTTTTAATGTACTGTAAGTCATTCTCATTGTGACTCACTTATCTCTCTCTTATCACTAACTCTGTGGTTAATGTGCACGAATGTAGGCCTTGACTACGTGCACTGCTGTTAAATGATTTATGATTTCTGCCTTGGACTTACATGCCATGTTCTCTGCTGTTGTATTCTCTTCTATGACTGCCTTTTTCTCTAGAAGCTGCATATGACTTGATATCTGACTGAATTATACGTCTTGCAGTAATTTTGCTAACCACAGCCAGTGACTAAGTGTAACAAACCACAGTCAAAGGTCTTAGGCATGTCTAGCTCTCAGCAGTCAACAGAGAAATAGAGAACCAAACTCCATCTGTCGGCCATCATTAGCCACAGTGATGAGTAATGAAGAGACAATACATGTTGTGAATTATTTTTAAATGTCTAACACAGTTCATCTGATAGATAGTAGAAGAATAAAAACAAACAATTTGCTGACAATGTCGTCTGGCCACTCTAAGATCTTTTGAAATATGGAGAAAGCTTATTTTTTTTTTTAAATGAAGGAAAAACACAACAAATCAAGATACAATGTTTAATACAACACAGTGGCCTCCTAGTGGCACAGTGGCCTCATTACAACAAATATGTGGCTAGTTACTCAGTCTATGGCTCTCTGGCTTAAGTTAAACCCATCCAAGAAGGGTGTTGTGATGGTGTGATGTCCATCAGGCTTTAAAGTAACATGTCAACCATTATTATTGTATCTGTGCAGTGGGCTCACAGAAATAGAGAGAGAGGATTGTTTAAGTATACATTTTGGACTTTGTGTGAGTATGGATGTCGTCCTGCGATTAGTAACTATAAATTAGTGTAGTTACAAGTTAGAATGCTAGGCTAACTGATGCTAGTTGCAGTGAGAGAGCGGTTAACTTGCCCATGTTAGGTACACTTTTGGAACAATAATAGGTATTGTGTGTCACACCTTTGAATACTGATGTGCCATGAATTATTTTTAAATTAATATGTAAATAGAAGATAATTTCAGTTAGTAGAAATGAGACTACCAGATAACAATAAGAACTATACTCTAAATAGCCTGAGTTTGAGGAACTTGTATTGCATCAACTACAGTATGAGCACATACTGTGAGTTTTCCTCAAACTTCTGAGAAAAGAGCAAGTTTACTGCAAGTACTTACTGCTAAAATCCTTCAAACAGCAGCTTTTTGGTGTTCAGATTATCCCTCATTACATTATGCAGCCACAGACTACATGATTATATAAAGTTATCCCTTTTATATTGATTGAAAAATTACATCATGGTTTTGTTCTACTTTGATCTGAGGATTATTTTTGGGTCAATAGATGCAAAACTTGTTAAAATCCTATGTTATGCAACGTCAATTAATTAGTAAATCTTTGATAGGAGCTTATAGGAGGCTGCTTTCATGTTTCTGGGTGAATATGGAAAATGAGCAGTGTCACACATAGTGTTTGATCTATGAAATGTAAAAAAGGAATGGGACAAATGTCCATCAAAGTTTCTTAAAGTCCAAGGGGATGAATCTAAATGAAACCTCTTTGCAACGTTGTTAACACTTTTGCTTCGAGCCTCGGTTTGTTGGAATTGTGCAAACGTTAGTATGATACATGTTCTCAGTGTCGAATGTGATGGATCTGTTTTTCAAAAAAGCCTCCAGTCAGCCGCAGCCGAATGGAACATTTGTGAGTAAATTATGCTCTTTTTGCATTGTCAGATATGCTGCACTCTCGCAGATTACAGCTATTGCCACCAACATCCTGTGTTGAGCCTGGTTGGTGTGGATGCATATGTATTAATATTGCATATTGAGTGTAATGACTCTTGGTGCAAATCCTTCATATTTATACACAAACCATGCTCTAAGAGGGTTGTTTGCATGATATGTTTTAATAAGCCTGTGCTTTTATTTGTGTGTGTGCGTGTGTGCGTATGTATGCTTAAACATGGGGGGTGGGGAGGATGGGTTGCATTCTTACCGTTCCTCATTGGCTGAAATATTTTCTCTGGCAACTAGAAAACGTGATCCTGCCTGCAGAGGCACTGCAGTGTGTGCTGCAGCGAGAGAGAGCAACGAGAGAGAAAGAGAGGGAGTGTATGAGAGAGAGAGAGAGAGAGAGAGAGAGAGAGAGAGAGAGAGAGAGAGAGAGAGAGAGAGAGAGAGAGAGAGAGAGAGAGAGAGAAACAGAAGGGGGTGGGCAGGCAAAGCAAGCCACATGCATTCGGAGGGAGCCAGAGGCACAGATCCAGAGAGGTAGAGTGTGAGTGTGCATGTATGTGTGAAAACACTGCGCATGTGTGACAGAGAGGCGCACTGGCTGGAGCAGACGGAGAAGGAGAGAGAGGAGTAATGAACGGCAGCTGAGTCAAGAGAAGAGATAACAGCAGAGGAGAGAGGAAAGTACCAGAAGAGAGGTTTACCTGAAGACCGGAAAGAAGAGACAAGCAGAAAGGACAAGAACAGAAGAGTGGACGTACATGCAGAGAAACACAACGCAGAAGCTCAGCTCGCTGCACAGAACAAGCTGAATACATTGAGAGGCTTATAGGCAGAGGGATGGAGAAAGAGAGACCAGAGGGAGACGCTCAGCCACTGTCGGGAAGAGAAGGAGCAGGGGTGGGAGAGTGAAGGACAAAGGTGCCAGAGAGGAGAGGAGGAGAGGAACTAGGGATGCGGAGCCTCGACCAAAGCAGCCAGAGACATGACGCATCCACCTTGTAACAGCTTCCTCCATCTTACATCCCCTCCATGTTAGCCTCTTTCACTGCTGCACGTCGTTTATGCAGCTAGGATCAAATGGACAGGAGAGAGCATCCTCCCTCCGGTGAGACGCCCCCCTGAATAAAGCGACCGAGCGGCTTATCTTCACACAACAGCATCAGCAACAACTGGAACAGGAGCGAGGGAAGGACTGGGACAAGAGAAGTGCGTAGACGGACAGGTGAGGATGAGGAAGGGGCTGCATGACTTTCTCAGGGAAGAGGTTTTTCTCTGTGTTTGTCATCATATCTGTCGGGTCTGTATGTTACATATCTGTGAGGTGTGGCTTCTCCATGTGGCTTTCATACTAATGTAATCCTCTGTGTAGTTGTCTTTGTGCGAGGTGGTCTTTGCCTTTTGTTTCGTTAAGCTGGGATTTACATGGTTGTTGCATCATTTTGCAGAGACACACATGGATGCAAGACACAGACACACACCTTCTATTCTGCATACAGCGGTTACAATCGGTGAATAGACGATGATGATGTGGTACAGGATGGCTCCAGCGGTTATGACATTTGACAGACCTCTGCACAGACAGAGAGTGGGGGTGGCGATGGGGACAGAGAGCAGGAACGGCCTGTTCTGCCGCTGTCAGCAATGAATCTCCATATTGGCCATACATTGGCGCTGCAGTGAGAGTGCTGGGTACACCATGCTGCGATTGCATAACTGCTGCTCCTGAACGCACCCCTCCCACATGCTAAAGCCGCTCCATATCACACGGGCAAAATATTTTGGCCAGCTCGCCTCTATCCCTCCCAATTCTCGGCTCGCAGGATATCAACAAAGCCATCCACCTTAAGCCTGAGCTGAGACAGCCTCCTTAAAGCAAAAATCAATCGCCTCAATCAATCAAGCCACTGTTATTATTGAAGAGCTGGACATTTGCTAAACCTTTCTCCTCATGAATGTTCTATGAGGTCTGTGTCAGCCAAAGAGATGATGGTTATTGCGTTTTAGTTTTCTGCCTGTGTGCAGCTCTGCTTTGTTGCTGTGGGAGAAACATAGACGAGAACAAAGAGCACTTGGCTGTAATGAATTGCGAGGCAAAATGGCCGATGTCTGCCATGAATGGCAGCGGGCTGAATTATTAAAAACAACACCTCCCCACATACTAACTTAGCACTTTCTGCACCTGCAAAAACCATTCTGTCATCACACAGAAGCCTATGGAACAATTAGATGTAATCACAGCTGTCAATATAACACTTACAGACAAATATCATTTCTATATCTGAATCCAGGTGAAAGACATGTGGATGTGTTTAAATCCTAGCATTTACATAGTGTTTGACATCTACTGTATGTGGAATGTGAAGGAGATATAGTCAATTATTTAGAAAAATGATTGTAACCCCATTGAGAAAAGCATGCAATAATAAAAAAACAACAAACACAAAAACACCAGAAACATAAAAACAAGTAACACTCCAATTCCTATCCATCATCTTCATGTATACAGTACTACACTAAATACACTTTTCAAATCACAAATATGCCACAGAAGCAAATCCCTCGGTCTTTCAATAACACCCAATATTTCTCAGAATCCCTGCAAGTGCCATGTTTTCCTGAGCTGCAACCAACACACATCAGGGGATTTGTCCTCAGATCACGCTAAGGTCATGACACGTTATGCAATCAAAACACAATATCCCACGCGGGTCCGATCAGAGATGTGTAGCGATGCTAGTGGATACACATCTCCACATAGCTGGCATACCTGACATACTGCTGGTATGTGGTGTGTAGGGGCACCATCAGACCAACACACCGCTCACAGACAGAGGGATGGATGAATGGACAGCAAGAGGGAGAGACAGATAGATATAGATCTTCATTGAGAGAAAAAGAGGGAGAGGCATGCATGGAGACAGACTGATGGGCAGGGTCTGACTCATTCAGAACATGGTGCCCTTCTCCTGTGTGAGTGTGATGGAGACGGCGCAACACAGTGGGAGTGTGAGAGGATAGGAATGTTCTTGGCGTGTGGAGCTGTGTGTGTTTTCCTCTCTTCAGGTGTGTGTCAGTACCAGTTTAATCTGTAGCATAACTGATAGTAGACACATTTACAAATATTCCTTTAAAGGCTCTTATCTGTTTGTTATCTGTTTGTTTGTGTGTGCGCTGGAATGTAAAGGGTGGTGCCGAGGACATGGTGGGGAGTCTTCTGAGGGTGAGAACGATCTAGTGTGTGTGTGTGTGTGTGTGTGTGTGTGT